GTTTTGAACGTAGATCTTAATAAGGCTAGCGCAGTTTGACTTTGTTTACGAAAATCGATAACTTGCAGCGTTTCCAAGCAATCGATAAGAATCGATATGAGCAAATATCCGAGCTAGAGTCAACCACTTTAAAAATGTAACTTATAGAATTGTTTATATAGATCATGTAACTTTTATTGCATAGCTAACTTGGCATGGCTGTGAGGTTGTTAATCGACTGCGCTTCAAGGAACAGACCTCATTTTGATTGTTAAAGCAAACGAGTGTGAGCTGTATTCGATGCTAGTAGAAGAAGGTTCAGGGTATTCCCCTTGTCCCCTAACTTGTTAAAGTTATTTATATGAAACTCGATCCATTTGTTGTTGTGGTAATTGTTGTAGTTAATTGTTAATTGTAATCGCGCTCATCTTGACAGAAGATTATGTTTGGCATTATGCAAGAGTATTTAATTCGTGGCACTAGAAAAGATTTTCCTTGTTGCGCTGCTTTTGCCAATTAAATTTATTATTAAAATGCAGCTGATTTTCTGCCAGGGCTCTATCCAATTATGTAATTAATTATTATTGTTAAATATTTGTGCATTTATGCAAATTTTGCGTATTTTCATGTAATTTTAATTGCAAATAAAACCCATTTTTTCGCTTTGCTATCCTTTTATAATTAATTTATGGGATTTTTGCTTTTGGTATGCAAAGCCTTAAAAATTAAACAACAAAAAACTGACGCGCAAACAACATAATATATTTATTCAACCAAACGGTAATTTTTCTGTTGTATTTAATTACGGCCACACATCATGCGTGTGCACTGAAACCCCAACCGAAAAAAATTATATTAATAATTTATTTATAACACGCGATTGTGCGTGTGTGTGTACATGTCTGGCCGTTAAGACAAACAAACAATCCGCATAAAGGTAATTATTATTAAAATTGTCAATGGACCAAAATGGGTATAAACATACAAAATTGGGTTTATTTTAAATATATTTCCTTAAAAACTGTCTAATTCATTTATTAAACAACTTAGCTTGAGTCTATTCCATTGGGGGCCTTGCCTTTAAAATATATATTATAATAATTTCTAATAAAATAATTTAATTTTAAATGAAAAACGAGAAAATAAGGATACCTTTGGCACGCAGTATATGAAAACAGAATATTGTGCCAGCTACATTTCGACTGATCGTTCCTAAGGCTACTATATGCTATATGATATAGTGGTTCGATGTAGATAGGTTTTTGCATAGTGAAACATAAAGATGCAGAGTTTTCCATACAAAAACCTACTTCTCGACCGATCATTCCTAGGACAACTATATGATATGGTGGTCAGATCGGGCCATTTCTGACTTATAGGCTGAGCGACAAGACGGACTTGGCTACATCATTTCGGCTGCTGATGCCGATCTAGTATATATGGTATATACTTTATGGGTCGGAGATGTCTCCTGATTGATCATCAATCAGTCAATCAGACAGCCTGTGAATCGTTGTTTTGTAAATCAACAAACAGTCAGTCAGTCAGTTAAACAGTATTTTAGAAATCAACGATTCCTTGAGAGTTGAGACAAATGTTTAGAATTTGCTGCTTTGTCGATCATGAACTGGAACTTTGTTACAGACCTCCCATTGAAGCAGCTAGACCTACAACCGGGCAACTGAGTGGGATCGTTTATCATCTTGCCAACGAAATCTGTCACATGTCCAACATATTTATTGGCATAGCGCCCCCGGGCGCACATGTGTCTGGCTGGGTAGCATTACCAGTTTGGCAGTTTGGTTTGCTCCAAATCATGTACAAATAAATGCGCCAATAAATTTCATCATTAAAATCACTTAATTTTGATCTACGATGAAAATAGTGAAAAATCACCAATGCCAAAGCCAAAGTCGAGAGCCGTGTTAAGAAATACACAGAACCGGACCCGAACAGCCAGGACCAGAGCCGAATGGAGCTGCAGTCCATATAAATCATAAAATAAAAGACACTAAAAGCAAAAATAAATCACAAACAACCAAAAAAAAAAAACGAAAATAAAGCAAAAATGAAACACATGCAAAACCGGGCAAACATTAGAGAAACTTTTTTGCGCCCATACCGATCCGGTCTGGTTTCGGTGTCTCAGTCTCGATCTCGGCTGCAGCTACCAAAGTCCGCAGACCTGGACGCAAAATTAATTGTAAAACGCGCCGCAAACACGCTCCAGCTCCAGCTGCAGCACTGCGTCCAGTCCATAATCTACATAATTCCCGCAGCGAACGGCCCACCCCGAGACCTGGTACTCGGATACTCTCGAAACTCTCGAGACGCATGCGTGGCCATTGGCCGTGACTGTCTTTTGAAATATGACGCCCAGTTCTTTGCAATAGATACGAATGTCTCGCCCATTTCTAATGGACGTCTTCCAAGAAGCCTCCAACGGCCCATTTAAATGGAAGTTTTTCCTATTTTTCAATTGCCAGCAAATGAATGTGGCATCTGTGTTGCCTCTGTGTGAGACCAGAGCTTGCCAGCAATTTTGAATCTCTGATCATTTGTTGGCTAATTGCACATAAAACAAGTAAACCTACAACAAGAAAGTGTCCGACTAGGAAATACCCTCACCCTTCTTCCACTAACAACAAATACAGTTCTCGCAAGGGGGAGAAGGGGCGGTAGCTATAAAGCTATCAAATAAAAGATACTACAGACGGACATAGCTAGATCGACTCGGCTATTGATGCTGATAAAAACAATATATATATGTATGTATATGTATATACTTTGTGAATCGGAGATGCTTTCTTCTGCCTGTTACATTTTCAATGGGTATACACATGCTTAAAACTTGGGCTGGCAAGGCACAAACTAAATTTATAATTATTTTATTATATTTAAAAGCCTTTCGCTTGCTGAGATGTTTCTCAGTTAGTACTGTAGCACAGGCAATAAAACATTTAAGGATATCGGTCAAAAGGGAAAGCAAAAAAGAAGTTTTGCACAGGAAAGTTACAGCATGAAGGATACAACTAGATAGTTCCAATATTTTGTACAGTTTAAAAACTCATTTGGAAGCTAATAATTTAATAGATATTTTGTTATTCTGTATTCATTGACAGATTTCAGGCAATGGCTAAGCGCACCTTTGGTGCCAGTACCAAGAAATAGAGAGTTCATTAAATCAAAGCACAGTTGGTACGGAATTTTTCGACAGTTTTCCTTATTTGCAGCGCCATTAGAAGCACTTGACTCTACGATATAACAGTCTAAACGTGCTGAAACTGCGGCTTATCGAATGGCCCATAAACTGAGCGCCTGGCTACTGTCAACTGTCAACTGTCCACTGACTACTGTGCCCCAGTGTCCGCCTGCGAATGCGACTGGGCTCCCGTTGAGCCACGAAATAAATACAATAAAAAAAAAAGCACATAAGCCGGCAACTGATGCGTCTCTTGGCCGAAAAGCTGACCAGTTAAGAGCGGATTGCGGCGAGTGTAATTTAATAAATTAATTGCAACAATTAGTTGCTTCATTTTTATTGAAATCCTTGTAAATATTGAGCTAGACGCGACTCCGCGGCAATTGGCTGTCATTTCGATTGAATTTATGGCGCATCTCTCATGCAGCCACCAAATGGAGCAGTTAGCCGAGAGGCGTTTCCACTATTAAATATGGCAAATTTATGCAGGTGCCATGAAAAATTCGACAATTGATTATGGCGCATAGATTCATCCGGGGGGGGTGTCAACGGAAGGCGTGAAATTGCCTTAAAAACGCTTTATTTTAATTTGTTTTATGTGCAATTTGATGAGATGCGTAAATATCCGCAAAAGCGAACGAAAAAGCAGATTGAACAAGAATAAACAAAAATTGAAAATAAACGAGATGGTAAGAATATTTCCCAAGCCGAAGATTTAATACCCTTCCTTGTAAGCATTTGTCCTATGGTTGTGCAGAAATGTCGCAATAATAAAGATCGTAAATGCAGAGGACAATTTGGACAATATCTCATAGTTGCAATAATAATTATAGCTTGGACACGGAACATTTTACAACAACAGGAATCTATCATAGGATGACAACTGAACAACGTCTTTAAGGTCACCTCAGCCTTTTTTAAGTCTCTGCGTTTGAACGGGTTATAGTCTTAAATTGCACGTAGTCAGTTCGTAATGCGGTAATTTGTGCGTTTGCTTTCATTACACATTTTGTGTCACCTGCATTTGTCGCCCTGGACTCGAGCTGTTGGACATTCCCCCTTTGCCCGGCCCAACAGCAAATGGGCTCCACTACATGTGCCCCATGTCAGATGGGCTAATTTATAGTGTTACATTGTACGTGACTAAACTGCAAGTCCACTTCAGTCTATTGTCTGAACAAAACACAACCAAATGCTGCTGCTGCTGCTGCTGCCTCCTCAGCAACACGTGGGCAACGGGCCAAAGAAGCCCAATAAAATGTTAGAACATCAACTGCATATTGATGACAGGCCACAGACGATGCGAACGATGACGAACGCTTTGCAGCATGTGAAGCCTGCACTGTTATACCCTGTAATGTCCATCATAAAGGTCTAAAAGTAATACAAGTCGTACATTAAAGATTTACGAGCTAAAACTCATTAGGTTATCTTATTCCCTCAACGTTAAATGTATCGAAAACTTCAGAATAGTGGGAGCATAAATGAAGCAGTTATTAAAAAATATACAGGGCATTGTCTAGTCGAGCTTTTGGTTTGGTTTTTTTTTTTTTTTTTGTTTGGTTTCGGTTTTGGATTTGGGTTATGAGCAAAGCATCGCTCAACTGCAAAACGCAAATGCAACAATTCAGTTTTGGGCTTTGTTTTTGGGGTCAATGTCAATTTTGTTTTGCTGGCCGGCTGGCTGGAGGAGGTCGTCTGCCTGTGTGTGTGTATGGGGGGGTGGGGGGTAGCAAACCCCATGCCGCCCCGCGCCGGGACGCGTTTGGCATCTTAAGCAGCCGCTGCCGACACGGACATATATAAAACCAAGCGGGGCGACTCGCAGTCAGTCAGTCAGTCAATCAGCCAGTCACAACAATGAAACTCAGCCCAGTGGTCATCGTGTTGCTCGCCTGCGTGCTGAGCCTGGCGCAGGCGGATGTCCAGCAGCAGCAGCGTCGTCGCTACCAACTGCAGCGGCAACAACAGCAGCCACAGCAGCCACCGCAGCCTGGTTACAGCTACAGGCCAGCGGCTCAGAATCTTGAGCAGATTGCACAGCCAGCGGTTAGCTATGCCGCGCCACAGCCGCAGCAGCTGTACAGAGCTCCTCCAGCGCCTGCCCAGGCAGAGGCGGCTGCTCCACAGCCGCAGCAGCAGCAGTTCTATAGAGCGCCCGTCCAGGCAGAGGCAGCCGCCGCGACGCCCGCACGGCTGCAGGCAAAGCCCGCGCGATTGGTGGCCAACAGCGAGGCGCAGGAGGACGACATCGACGATGCCGCCGAGGAGGTGGAGGTGCCCAGGGCAGCGCCAGCAGCTCCCGCTGCCGCTCCAGCGCCGCTCGCACCCGTACAGCCGCCAACCATTGTCTATTATCCGGCGGGCGCGGTCAGCTTTGTGCAGCCAACCTCCTTTGCCAAGTTCATAGCAGCGCCTCAGGCGGCACCAGCAGCAGCTGCTGCCTATGTGGCCGCGCCTCAGTACTATGCCGCCTACTATGGTTAGGAGTAAGCTAAAGCCCGAACTGTAGCTGCAGCTTATCTTTTCTTAATAAAATACCAACTTGCTATATTTATGTTTATCCTGAATTAAAATTTTGTACATTTCCTAGTTCTTAGTTTTGAAATGTTGCATTCCTTCTATATTGTTTAATCTCCTATATAAATTATTTCGCAAAGCTCGTTGCCTATTTACTTTAAGCTTAGATCCTTCTTGTTCAGTTGCCCGAATAACCGCGACAATAGTATTTTCTAAATGATTATGCCATTTACAACACTGCAATTAATTAGCGATCTTTACAGTGTTAATCAACGTAGCTTTTGTTTGTGGCAAAAAAAAAAGAAATCATAATCATTTTGCTTGTTCTTTCATAATTCATTTGGTTAGTTAAAACTTTAATTTTACTGCATTTCTCGTTAGTTTTAATAGTTTTAATCATATTCCACCGTTTTGGGCCACCCTCCTCCCTGGCTAGACTCGCGTGATTAAGCTGCAACAGAACCAGCTATATCATCATGGCAGATTTGAGTACCACACCGACTGCGGGACTGCAGACAGAAGGCTGCCTTAAAACGGAAGGCAATTCCACGAGAGCCTAACGAGCATTTGTCGAAAGAAGATGCGAACGCGACTTAAGGCTCGGCAGTCTGACAATGAGTGAGCAAAGATAATCTATTATGACCGTAACAAGAAATAAATCCCAACTCGGTAATCCATCATTTTACGACTTGGCAATCAAAATAAGGAGTTTAGCTAAGTCAGTTAAGGAGTCGGACGGCCGGACAATGGGCGGCCAATCAACGGCCAACAAAGTTGGCTGGCTACCTCAGTAAGTGAGCCCCAGCTAGAGATGAGTTCACATTGAATTCCCTTTAACAGCTTACAATTATTAGAGGGTATTTTATAGTATAATATGGCAAGCTGAATTCGAATCAATCTACTTATGTTTTATGTAGTTATGTGTGTGTGTTTTTGGTGTCTTTTCCATCACTGAAAAAATCACATTCTCAAAATAAACAGCTGTACAACACTGGCTCCTTTACATAAATGATAGGTATATGAAAGAAAATGACAAATGAAACGCTCTTTTATATAAAAAGCAAAGACACCAAGTGTCTGATTGACAATGCGATTAGTGCATGATCAGTATTTGATAGGATTAACTCGTGTCACGCGCTCATCACTGGCAGCGTCTAACGAACAAGTCGAAAAGCATGTTAACGTTAAGCCCGAACTAGAAGCGAACCCACAGATTGAGCAGAGAGTTGCGATCAGGAAACATGCATTTTCGACATGCTGCATACACATTCAGGCCACATTCAGCGGGCGGGTTGCAGTCGAAGCAGGGAGCAGAGACGAATTCAAAGCTCAATTTACGGCAGCCTGACGACTTGGACAAGTGGCAGCTTTGGGCCATTTTAGCCAGAGCCCAGCCGCTGACGGCTGACTGCTTCTCTGCCTGCCCGGCTATCTGTCTGTCTGTCTGTCTGTCGCTTTGTCTATCTGGCCGACTAAATAGTTGCCAATAATCCGTGTCCAAATTGATCGGGTTGCCGTTTATGGTAATGGACGAACTTTGGATGCCAAAATGTTGGCCGTTGGTCACTGGCGGAATGCTTCATTACCGATGCACAAACTTGGGCGTGCGTCTCAAATGATTTGCAACGGTTTTCAGGCGGCATTTTGCATTATTATTGCTTCATTTTCTACTCCATTCTGGGGCTACAAGCGGCACCAGCAGCCATGAAGAATGCTGTCAATTAGCGTAAGAAAGGAGCGACAGTGGATGCTACTTCCCAACAGATTGATAAGCTGATGCTGCTGCTGCTGCTGCTGAATGTGGGTTGGAGTTGGAGTGAAATTGCGAGCATACCGGAAACCCAAGTAGTGACAGCTGGCACGCCCTTTGCTGGGACATAAGCCCATTTGGAACTGCTCATACATTTTCAAAATCGCATTTAAAGGTGAAAGGTGAAGGTGCAACAGTTAGTGGTGGGCATATCTGGTTCGCTGCCTATTGGAGCCGTGCCAATGGAGCTTAGCAAAATGCTCGAAAATTCAAAACGAAGAAAAATAGAAAGAAATATGGGCTAGCTAGAAAATGAAAACAACACACTGAAACAGCCATGGCAAAATCAACATGTGGGCGGCACATGCGAGCACTTTAAGCAAAGGAAAAGGCAAAAGCAACTTTAATATTAGCCAAGTTTATGCAGTGTGCAGTATCAGTTACAAAAATCAGTAAAGTGTATGAGTCTCTGCCTGTGTGTGTGTGTGTGTGTGTGTGTGTGTGTGTCCATGTGGGCGCTTGTTTTTGTATCGGAGAAATTGTATTTTCAACATCAGCGCAAGAGAAAATGAAAAATAAGCAGCTGTAGCGGCAGCGTTAAATTAAAAAATAACACAAGCTAGCCGCAAAAAAATATAGCCAAACGTGTACAAGAAGAATTGACTAGAAATTATTAGTTTTTAGTGGTTGCTCTAATGTTCATTAGCTAACCTCGATTTTGATACACTTACATTAATATATTTGCTTGAACCTTCTTGTGAAATAGGTTTGCACGTATTCAAAACGCGCGCTCTTCATTAAATAATTTTACAGTACTGCATGCACTTTTTTTAACGAGATGGTAACGCTGGCCACTTACTCGTTCACTTGCTCACTTGCACTCGTCACAAGCTGCCAATCAACGTGTGACGTCACATTTAATAAACATTAACTGTTTTCGGAACAAACGAAACAAGCAACAGTGCCTTGTGCTGCTCATTTTTAATATATAACTCATTTTTATAAAAACCTATCAAAAATGTTCGCTTTGCTGCTCTCACGTGCAATTCTACGCGTAACCTTCTCATTTGATTGCCTCCCGAAACAGCTGTGGCAACTGACCGACAACAACAACAACAACAGCCTGCACAACTTTCTTAAGCACGTTCGACGAGAAGAAGAGGCACGAACACGAGAAGAGATGTGTTAAAATCAACCCAGAAACTACTTGTTGACAAACCCAAGCGGCAGCCACCTGAACAACTCTAGCGCTCTGGCCCAGCCCAGCGCTGTTTGCATATTCTAAATATACATACGCACGCATAAAAACTCTACACGTCATCAGACTTTCTGTCGCGGAACGTAAGTTAAATTATTTAGCAAAGCAGGCAAGCAGTTAGAATATGAATTAAATATTTGAATTAACGCAGAATATGCGTCAACTAAAAGGCAAGGTAAAGGAAACGCGAAAGCAAAAGAAGGAGCGCAAATTGGAAAACGCACAAATGCAGGCAAAAATTGGAACTGTGGTACTGCCGGCGCTTGGTGTTATTGCCATGATGGTGAGTAGCGCCGGAAAGTGCGAGAGCTTAACATATATTGTGTGATTTTAAATATTGTACAGATAGTGGCGTTTATTTACCTGAAGACGAGACCTGCAATCTTGGCCTAGAAGAAAGACCAAAAGGAAACTTGGCGTAGCTTAAGCTAGTGTAGGCATCAACGATGATATTATGTACTTGTGCTCGTGTTGAACATTAATCTTGTAATTGCGTCCTTGTCAAATGTGCAATTTGTTTTTAAATATTACACTATATTGTATAAACACACACCAGTTGAATAAATAAAAGCGACGAAAAAGAGCGGACTGGTTTAGTGTTGTACAACGCAAATATTCAGGCAGTCGTGAAGCTAATTGGCGGGTCGTTTGAATATTTTCAAGGAATACATTTTTGTATATGTGCGTGCATTGGGCTAACACACACATGCCGCGATACACACAGATACAGCATCTAACGAGTTTCTTTATTTTTGGTTACACTATCTAGCTATTTACACGTTGCTCGTTCGTTGCGCTGAGTAAAAGCTGCCTTCAGCATTTGTCAATCAAAACAAATTGAAAAAAGTGGCTGAACATAAAATTTCGCGCCAAATATAAACATTTTCGCATACTGCCAAATAATATATTAACAGCAGTTAACTAACTTATAAGCACTGCAGTTATTTATTTTTGCTTGTGATTAGATAACACACATACAAAACCAACAGCAGCACATACATACACACTCTCACATACATAAGTAACTGAGTGTGCCAGCTGTTTTCTGCTCTCTCTTACTCTCGATTAAACACACACACACACACTCACAGACACGAGCCTACAGACACCAGCTCGCTCTCACGCGGCGCGTCTCGTCTCGTACGTTTTGACATTTTCTTCAACGCAGTTGTTGTTTTGGTTCTCACACTGGCGCGTGCGGGTGAAAAGAGTGATTTTAATTACTGGACAATGCTTAAGTTTTTGGTAAGTAGCACGAAATACAAGTGAAAGTTTGTGAAATACGCCGCTGCAATATATTGCAGCACCAACACTAGCAAATCAAACGCCGTTCTTTTTATGGCGATGATTTAATGCCGTTGTTGTTGTATTGTTTAACATGCGACCAAGAAATGCCAACAACAATTTACGCAAATTATATGCGGCAAACATCAGCTGTAGTAAAACAATTTCTAAATTATATAAATCGTTTGTATGTACATACATATGTCTTGCCTTTAGACTGTACTGTGCGTTGTTCTTTTACTAAGTGAGGCGCTTCGATTTATCATCCTTGTTCTTAGTTCAAAGTTCAGAAAGCAAAGGAATTCGTGCTTCTGCAAGTTATTTGACACTAATCGATAGTGAAAAGGCTTCTTTGGGCAGATGAAATTGTATTTTACTTTTGCCACCCTCAATACATACATAAATGTGTGTAAATTCTGTCCAAAAATGTCAGAGAATAACTAACTAAGCATTGCTCCCATTGCCACAAAACATATTTGAGTATATTTTTGGGCACGACACTTAGGAAAACACATTCAACATAAACGACTAAAATGAAATTGCTTGGTTTGGGAATGCAACTGTTGAAACGTGGCCAATCTTCGTGCACGAGCGGCTGCCAAGAGTGTGATGCATTGCCGCCATGTCCACCAAAGCCTTTATGGACAGGCGGGCGCGTCTTGTTGTTCTCAATGGTCAGGGGCTGTATATATAAACCTTAATCCGTTCGACGCAAATTAATATTTGTAACATTTTCATTGCAGCTAACTTTTGGGGCCGGAGTTTACACGGGTCTCTACGTGTCGCAGAACTATGAAGTATGTCTTGAAATCTCAACAAAATGTTGGCTACAATTAATCGTTATGCTTTTGCAGGTGCCTCGTGTTGATGATCCCCCCAAACTGGTTGAAAAAATGAATAAAAAAATCCGAGAGCTTATCGATGGAAAAAAGTAACGTCATTTAGGGATTCATTAATTCATATTCATCCGGCTTAGACCAGGCAGTTTTATGAAACTAACCCAATGTGACTATGAACCACGCACGCTAAAACAAAACAAAAAAAAAAACAAATTCAAAATAATAAAATGGGTAACAGATTTTACAACTTGGACTGATTATTACAATGTTACAACCATGCGAAGTGCGAAGTTGTGTATCCATTGGCAAGTCAAACTTATTTTCAATATATGTCGGATCGCACAGTATTCATCAAGACTTTTAACAAGGACATTCTCTACAAAATTTACAATGAAAAGGACTCGTCAAAATGCCAGTTTAATACAAATTAACGTTCTACTCACATTAAAGCGATGACCATCGAAGACGGTATTCAATCACCAAACTAATCAATCTTCATTTGTAGAGATAAAAATTTAAAATAAACTGACAATATAAATAACAAATGCATTTCAACAACTCTTCACATTATTCACAGAACGCCCGTCGAACAAATTGTGCACGATATCAAAAAGGAGGCGAAAAAAGCTTTGGACGACTGAAGAACGTATTTACTTGCAGCTCGAGACGAAATACAATATATTTAGTTATTCTGTGTTTAAACAAATTTATCTATGATCCAATAAAGGAAAGTTTAAAGTTACAATCTAGATAAAGGAAACACCTCCTCCATAATATTCTAAACGCGTCTGCGGCTGCACAAATGCCAGCCAGTCGGAGGCGTGCGTGGGCAGAAGGCCCATACTGTGGCACTTATATAGCGCAAGGGCCACATTCGCCAGATTGCCCAGAATATAGATAATGCGCTGGCCGGTGCCCTGTGCACCCTCGGCCATTTTTGAGGTGACTTGCGTCGTGAACATAGCCTTTATCGGGCGTATTAACATCATGCCCACCATCATTATTGGAAAAATAGAAATTGAATTACCTGACATGTACATTATGAATAGATTCATTGGTATCTGGAAGAGATTCATGGGTAACAGCAGATCTTGACGAAATGTGGACACCGCTTACCTGTTTCAGTGGTCCCAGGGCCAAGTCCCATGATTTTTTAATTACCAAACGTTGATCACGTACAACTTCCGTTTGATTTACCAGAGCCGTAGGATTGTAGCCAGGCGGGGAAGGCATATCTGCATTTTTGCTACATCATGGGAGAAAAATGGATTACCTTTGTTGAAATTGCTTATTTTGACACACATACCTAACGTTAAAGTCCAGCGCCCACTTGGATTTCTTGGAGTTTTGCTTAGCCGACATTTTACTAGTGTTTTTTATCTAGGTTTAGTTAATTTAATTGAAGAATTACTTATAAATTGGCACCAGCAGCAGAAAAACTTTTTTTTATCGTTATCGGCAAAAGCAACTCTGAATGTGCCGGCACTGTGTTGGTAAACGGTCACATATAGTTGGGGTTGCCTTCAATTTATTATCGATAACATTCACATAATATACGTTGATTAAAAATTTTAATTTTTTTTTTTATGTATCAAAAGTGATTCAGCATATTTTGTTTATTTAAATTTTATTTAGAATTACCTTTATAAGTAGTACGTTCCGTTTGTATATGGTTTTTATGTTTTGTTTTGCTTTTGATTTTGTTTTTGTTTTTTTTTTTTGTTACTTATTTTGCAGGCAAGCGTTGGATTATAAACAAAAATAATTCAAATTGTTTTTTTTTTCTTGTATTTTTTAAGACAATTACAATTACAGTTTTCATTACTCATTATTATTACTTTTATATATATATAAAATTAAAAAGAAATATATATTGATGAGGGAAAGGGCAAAACTAACTTAATAAAGATACATACTTCTGTTGTGGTGGTTGGGTTTTCTTTTTACTCATTTTTGCATTTAAACATCCAATAATTATATATATATAAATTTAAATCATAGCGTTCTTTTATATGCTGATGCTGCTTTGAAAGTGTTTTTTTGTTTTTGTTTTGAGTGCGGTGTTTTTGCGATTCTTAAACAAGTTTTAATTATGCGCGGCGCGGTTTTGCGGGTGTTTTTTTTTTTTTTGGAAAATGGAAATGCGCAGAACCCAAAGTTCGCTATGCTTCCTCTTGATATTACTTCCCACTTATTTAATGCCGTTGTCTTCTCTTCTTCTTCTTGTTGCCGTTTTTGTTTTTGTTGTTGTTGTTGTTGCTTTTGCTGTTGAAGATTTTGCTGCTTTGCTTTTAAAATCAATGTTAGTGTATAATTATTTTGTTGTTGTGGTTGTTGCTGCTGCTGCTGCTGTTGCTGTTGCTGTAGTTTATTTAGCGATTAGCGTTCTTTAGCTGATTGGACAACCAATCAAGCCCCTCATAGAGGCCGTCGCCGCTGGTTGCACACGTCGCCTGTATATACCAATTGCGGTTTCTGAGTGAGTGCAAGCCCAACTTGTCGGTGATTTCGGCCGCATTCATTGCATTTGGCAGATCCTAAAAGCAGCATAGAGAGAATATTAAGCATTTAATATATATACATTAATTAACGGGAGTGCATTCTCGAGGCATTGTTATCTCGAAAAACAAACACCTTTCTTTCTTATCAACGACATCCAGTCCATTTATAGTAAACACGTGCGTTAGGCTAGCTTGCGCAATATGTTCTTTTAAATGCCGACATCATTGAAAATATTTCAAAAATTTTACAAACAAAATGTGCTCGAATATTAACTAAACTTCGGTGCAAAAACAAGTTTTCTATTAACAGTATTTTGCTCTACTTTCACAATGTATAATATTGATTTCCATACCTGTTTGTTGGCGAATATTAGTAGGACTGCATCTCTGAGCTCGTCCTCGGCCAGCATACGCATCAATTCCTCTCTCGCCTCACCGATACGCTCTCTGTCGTTGCTATCAACGACGAAGATAAGACCCTGCATGGAAGAAAGGAACAGCACGTAGAATATGTTAATTGGGGGGGCAAAGTTAAAGATTTAAGCTGATATGGGTAATCTTATGTATATCAGTCCCGTCTTGAAACAAAATTAACTTTGAATAATCATAATTATAATCATTATAAGTTGTTAACATCATCTAGAAGAGGTAGGCCGGCGGCACATCTACTCAAAAGGAACATTAACGTACTTGTGTATTCTGGAAGTAATGCCTCCACAATGGACGAATTTTGTCTTGGCCGCCCACATCCCACACTGTAAAGCTAATATTCTTGTATTCTACAGTCTCCACATTGAAACCTGGCGTTGAAAGAGAAAGCATACAGTATGTTGCATTATTTGTATACATTTGATATTATTAAAATTGTAGATTATTACTACTTACCAATAGTAGGTATCGTTGTAACAATTTCGCCTAATTTGAGTTTGTACAGAATTGTGGTTTTACCAGCGGCATCCAAACCGACCATCAATATTCTCATTTCCTTTTTGCCGAAGAGGCCTTTGAATAGATTCGCAAATACATTTCCCATGTTGTTGGTTGTTGTTTCGTGTCTTTCAATGTGGAGGGGATGTTGTTTAAAATTGTTACACTAGTGCTTCTTCTTGTTTACGTTAATTATAAACAAGTTCAAATCCGAGTTGCAACTGCTGTTAATATGCAACTCCTGTTGGATTTGTGTGCTTGCAACTTGAAGAAACTGCAAAGAATGAAATTTTAGTTTCTCTCACTCAGCTTCTTAATTCGATTAACTGCGGTCTGCGGCATATGGACAAAGCAACCCCCCCGCATAGACACTTACGATCAATAAAACTGACTTGAATTACAAATGTTATGTGTAATGAAGTTTGAGTCAAACGTTGTTTAGGTTTTGCTCGTTAATTGCAAACTGTTTTGATCACTTTGCATCACACTTAAGCTTCGATTGTTAATGCTGACGTGTGTTGGGCAAACGGTGAGTAAACCGGAAGGCCCGCAACCAAATTATGAAATCCACCATTAAAAATGTTAAATACAAGCTACGAAATTGCTTCAACCAAGCGTAGAAAGTGTAGAAATGGCAATAAACGCTTTTACCAACAAGTTCATTGACAACGTCAAGTTGCAGATGTCGGCTCCAAAATAGAAACAATGAAAAGAACTGATGTTAGAGGGCGATTGTCAAAATAAAACAACAACTTTGATTTGACACTGGCGAGTTTGCTGCCGGCGCTGACGCTCAGTTGACGCTGACGTCGCGGCGGCTGATAAGATATTGATTTTTTTGTTGTTGTATTGTATTATTTGTTGTTGGTGTGCGTGCAGCGGCGGCTACTTTAGTCGGGGAAAAACGTGTACGGACAGAGCGCGCAAATGTTTGAGGTGAGAAACTTTCGATTTATCAGTGCAAATGCTAGCAGGATGACTCGACCGACCATTGCCCAGCGTCGTCGCTCCAAATCTGTGGTGAGTCAGCAGCAACGGCGACTATACACACACACACACATACACACATGTGCTTCAATATGCAATTCAATTGAAAGTTTAATTGACTTCACATAGAAATAGACAGCAGGCAATGGTAAAAGCAGCAACAACAACAGCAACAATTAGGCAGCACTGGATGCGCTAGTGTTGCCCATCAAAACGAAATGCGCAAATAATAACTGAACACGCTATCGAAAATACATTTACGTTTTGTTTGGTTGCATTTGATGCCAAAAAACTCAATTGTGCAGAAGACTTAATGTCGCAAAAAATATGTGTAAGAAAATGAAATCTACACGTAGCAACTTTTATATGCCGCCGCAGCAGCAACACCCTGCAACGCACACACAGTCACAATTCATAAACACACATACGCACATGAGAGTTTAGGGTTGCCTTACGATTAGTGTGCGTGTTAAATTGTAGTCATTTAGACCGAGTTTAAACACAGGACAATTACACAGACAGTTTTTGTTGCCATTAAAACTAGCGCAATTTCTTAGAACTTTTTAGTTTCCTTTGTTTGCCTGGCAAATAAATACACTGGTGGTCCACGAACACATTTGACAGCCCTACCAATTTATATATGTGTGTGTATGTGGCTGCCTTTGTATGAGTACCAAGAAATGATGACGGCGACGTATGCTTTTTTTTCATTTGCTTTTGTCGAGCAGCGGCAGCCTTGTTTTGTTAATTTTCAGGCGAAATATTTGTTTGGTTTGCACTTAGGACATTGCCTTAGCATTACGCTTCGATTAATTGCACTTTGCACTCATTATTTACCGTTTTCTTTGCAGCTTTTTATAAATTTCCTTCTGATTAAATTTTCTGCTGCTAAACCGACTGCGAAGAAGAATGTACAAATTGGTGATGACAGAAAGAGTACGATACCGCCAATCGATTCCAATTGAGCGTGACTATCGATTACAAACATTTTAAGAACGAATTAAAATAGTTGGCAGTTATATAATTGATAATTGCCACTAAAATTTCAAGAAAAACTTAATTTAAATAATCAATTAGTTTTCATAATTACTAACTATTCGGTATTTATATCCCGGACGATAGTTCGTTTACAACCATTCGATTACCACTCCCATCGCCAGTTCCACACGTCATATACATGTGTGCGTGTGTTAAAATTTCTACACCAATACACCAACATCACCCACATTGCTGCGGCAGCATTTTCAATAGCAAAAGATAAAAATGCTACCAGCTTTCTATTAAAATACGCCATTGCGCAACAACACCATCTAAAACTTGATTGAAAATCCATACGCACCAAATAATTGTATCAAATGCACGCCAATTTGAGCAGAAATTTTAGAAATTTCTACTTGGAAATGTCTAAAAATCACAGAGCGAAATAAAACTTGACCGAGAATACACTTGCCTTTGAAAAAACTGCAAATTCACCAACGTTGAAAATGAACTCAACGCTGAGCGTGGCTGTATGCTAGAGCAGCAACACTATAATATACGGTGGTGGGTATTTCATATGGCACTCATATGCTGCCACGTCTTGTCCACAAGCGAGGCCGGTGTGTTGAATTTAGAGATGATAGGCGACCGTGACTGCACGTTGGATATTTCAATCGATTGATAAAATGTTTTATCCCAAAACTCCATTTTATGGCAAGGGACTACTGCTGGAAAACGAAATTCTGAAAGTGAATGTGAGTCAACAATTAAAATAATGAAATTGTGTTGCGGGCAAGGGCAAACAATTAAACATCAAATGTCAACATGCTGGCTATAAGAAGCAGACAACCACGATTCGATACATTGATAACTCTATTGTGTTTAGTGGGGTAACATTGGCATCAATAATGTAGAGGTTCGCAACACTGTTTTTCAAATTTTAGATAACTTTGTTAATAATTTCAATAATAATATAATGGGTCTTTGTTCAGAGTGCGGCATTGTCGAAGTTGTTACCATGGCTTTGCAAGGCGCCATGCATTACAACATATCGCATCAACACTCTTCGCATCAGCGTAGCGGACTACAAAGCGAAACTGGAGGCCAAATTACGCGCGCTTTACGGACCGCAAGCGCCCCGAGTGTATGGGCTGGACGAACTGCCCGAAATGCTATGCATTGCACCATTGGACACACCAGCTGATATTGACTTCGATGATTGCCGTAAGGAGCTTATTGTGGACACAAGTTGCGGTGCTGCGTTATTGCGTGGCGCACACATTTATGCGCCCGGCGTTTTGGCCATGGAAACAGGCACATAGCTCGAAGAGCTGGTCAATGTGTATGCGGATTTGCCGGGCAAGTGCAAACGCGGCACTGCCACGCGTTACGACTGCAACGATAAGATCTTTCTAGGCGTGGGCCAAGTACTAATGCAACGCCATCAGCTCTACAACAACAACAAAGAGCAGCCACCCTCGGGAATTGCCGTACGCATGCAGTCAAATGTGAGTGGAGTGCCCACATTGGGCGATCTGAGCGATGCGAATGCATTACTCCAAAACTTACCCTCCATGGTGTGCGTTAGGGTGTTGGCACCACAGCCTGGCGAACGCATTCTGGACATGTGCGCTGCGCCGGGCAACAAAACAACGCATATAGCTGAGCTCATGGGCGATGTGGGCCAAATTATTGCCCTGGACAACTCTGCCAGTCGCATGCGTGCCATGCAAACGAAGCTGGGCAACTACGACTGCATTCAGGCGCATCAATTTGATGCCACCAAGGCCTGGAACGAACACAGTGCCATAGACTCAACAGCTCCGCCCTTTGCCTCGAGCAGCTTTGATCGCATCCTGTTGGATGCGCCCTGCAGCGGTCTGGGCAATCGTCCGCAGCTCTGTTGCAGCATCAAGCAAACCAAAGTGCTTCAATCCTATCCGCCTATTCAGCGCAGCCTGCTGGCACAGGCAGTGCCACTACTGCGTCCCGGCGGCGTGCTAGTGTACAGCACTTGCACCATCACCGAGGCAGAATGCGAGCAGCTGGTTTCCTGGGCGCTGCGTAAATTCCCACAGCTGCAGCTGGTGGATGCGACACCGAAGCTTGGTGCACCTGGCCTGCCGCTGCCGGAGCTGAATGCTGCACAATGTGAACTGTTACAGCGCTTTGGACCAACTAATGAAAATCGTGTCCAGAATTTGGACACAGTTGGATTTTTCATAGCCAAATTTCAGAAATCGTTATGAGCTGGAAATACATTGTTTAAGATAACCGTTAATACCTGTCAGCTAATTAATAAAAATAATTAAATTATTTTTCATTTTTATATACTTATTAAATATAATATGCGAATAGCCCCAAAGAGAAGAAAGGCGAAAATCTGTTAAAATTTAAAGTTAGTATCCAAAGTCCGCTGAAATTGCATGAATTTCTTGTTTTATTTTAATTTAAATTGCAGTTTATATATTTGTTTATATTTTACAACTATGCATCTTGTTAAGTTTTTGTGGCATATCTCTCTTCTTTTTTAAAAATAATGAATACAAGCATTGTTGTTGTTTGCTTTGAGTTCATTCGATTTTAAAAAATACTTAAATAATGTACAATACATAATAATAATAATAATAATCATAATATTACAATTACAAGTTCTAAGTCTAAATTGTATGTTGTTTTGCTCGTTCTGTGTGTTTGTTGTGTGTGTGTGGGTGTGTATGGGTGTGTGTAGGTGTTTTGTTGCGTGTTGCAAATTCTAAGGTTTTGCTGAGTTTTCTAAATGTTTAACTGTTCTTCAAAATGCAACAGCTGCATTTAGTTGTTGCCTAGAATAAAGAATTGCATAATGAATTACATTAAGTTATTTAAATTAGAATAGTTTTTTGTTTGCTTCTTTTCTCTCTCATCTTGCTTCTTTTTTTTGTTTGTTTTTCTTTTATGTATATTGTTTTAATTAGTACAAGTACAAGTTAGTTTGTAGGTAAGTTTTCTAATGCATAATTGCTGCCGTTGTTTAATGTTAAATCTAACGCTTTGAATCCCGGATAGATTTACTCACTGCTAGCAAAATTGATGAAAACTATACAATCTTAAAACTTTGCATAGTTTTTTTTTTTTCATTTTCTTTTTCTTTAATCATATACTAGTATATAAAACAGATCCCCCCCAACAAGTCGAATAATAATTACTTTAGTGAAGAACTTTCCACTTACTGCAAAGTACTCTATTTGTTTGCATGGACATTCGGATGTTAAAATTTGAATAGAATCGAATCGAAATGCTAAAAGATACGTTTCGAGCAAAGGGCGGGGGAATGCGTATGCTTAAAAGTGCGATATGATTGGCAGAATGGGAGCAGCGCTACAGGATGCTGGCTGATGCTGGTTAATGCTCAATTTCTAAACTTTAAGCGGCTTCCTTTCTTATTCTGGCGTATCTTTACAACAACGGCCCGTGCTCTATCATAATAATGCTTATCGACTACATATATGCTATATTTTTTTGTTTTTTTTTTTCTGTTTTTGTTTTTTTTTATATTTATTTACGTCGGGATATTTAGCGTCTTGAACTGATCCTCCTGCATTTCAGTCATCATGAAGGTGCCATCCTGCAGCAACAAAACAACGCGACGCGTTCCACCTGAATATGAAATCAATGAAAAGTTTAAGTTTACATCCATCCATCGAATCGCTTTTATTTAATTCCAATTTTGGATACGACCGCTTACCCGGGGATGGCAGATCGGCTTGCACCACTTCGGCGGGTATTTGTGCCTCGGTGCCGTCGCTGTCCGATGTTGTGATGTGAATTTGCGCCGTATGCGGTGTGCTGCCCGCTGGCGCCGCCTCCTGTTGCTGCTGTTGCTGCTGCTGCTGCTGCTGCTGCAATACCGCAGCCTGATGCTGAGCCAGTTCCTCCTCCGTCATGCTGACAAGTATGTGCTCACCATCCGCATTGGCATCGCTTTGCTGGCCAACGGCAGCGACCGCCTCGGCGACAGCATTGTCTAACGTGAGCACATCCTGATCCTCACCCTCGGCGGCAGCCACATAGGCAAACTGCTGTTCGCCGTCGGGGCCCTGGGTGACGAGTATTGTCTGGCCTTCGGCATTCTTGCCGGCAACCTGGTAGACGGTGCCATCCTCGCCGCGTACCAGCAACGCGGAGCCATCCTCATTGGTGAGCACCTGCTGATCACCACCGAGCAGCGCCTGTGCGGCAGCCTCTAGCTGTTCGCGCTGCTGTTCCTGCTGTTGTTCCTGCTCCATTTGCAGCTGCGTCTCCTCCTGCCCAATTAGTTTGCCAGTGATGGGGCATAGTTGCGCCTGATGCTGCTGCAGCTCCTCCTGTTCCACTTCCATTTCGATTTGCATGGGCTGTGCCTTAGCTGCCGCCGCATTCACCGTGCGTTGCCTCAGCGGAGTCAGCTGTTGCACTTTCTGGATCTGCACCTGCTGCTGCTGTTGCTGCAAAGCTTGCGCTTGTTGTTGACGCTGTTGACGCACCTGCGCCGCACGCTGTGCTAGCAGATCCTCGCGAGTCATCACTTTGCGCGTCACCTTGAGATCCCCAGACTTTGATAGCTGCAAAATCTTTTGCTCTGGCGTAACAGCCTTGGCTCCGGCTATTTGTCGCTGCTGTGGCGTATTGGCGCGCGTGACCAGCATGCGTGCTCCGGCTCGGGCGGGCATTGGCGTCTGACGCAGTGGATTGGGCGCGTTGCTGCCCACGGGCCGACGTTGCAGTGAAGCCGCCTGTCCGGGTGTACGCAATAAATGCGTTCGCTGGCCAACGGTCACCGGTGAATTGTTGCCGGACGCTCGAGCAACAGCCATGCGCTTGGCAGGCGGCGCAATGCCGGCTGAGGAGATGGCGGCCGGACTCATCTTTGGAGCTGCTGGCGAAATTGCGCTGCTTTCCGATTGTTCAATGCGAAAGATGCCGCTGTTGTTGCTGGCCATTTCAGTGCGGGATAAATAACGCACCGGACACTCGAGTTTCTGACGTTTCTGAACATTGATAAGCGATCGATATATATTAAATCAGATTGAATAGTTATTTTCGGAGTGCCAAAAGATAAAATGCCCTCGCATATAGAGTCACAATAATGTTGTTGACAAAATATCATTGAAAGGCGAGTTGAAAAGGTTATTTTTTTTTTTTTTTACAAGAACCGATCCATTCGGCTTTACTAAGATTATCTACTACAATGATGCTATTTGAATGGAACAGACAAACGGCTACTCGACTCGGATGTTGATGCTGACCAGAAGTCATTTATACCCTCTGCTAGCAGCAAGGCAGGGGTATAACATCATCACGATAGCGATACAATATTTACAAGGAAATAAAATATATGTATGTACATCGGCATGTCATTTGTACGCACTTCACACACACACATATATATATACTTATATATACATCGTTGTTTCATCGATCACTATTATGATTACTTACTGTTTGTATTGTATTGGGCATTTCGGGTTTTCTGAACATGCCGGTACTTGTGCTGTCCTCCGTGTAGATGATTTCACCCATTTTTGCATCCTTTTCACTAAATATGGACCCAGACGAGGAGTTGCCATTGATGCGAGCCGGCGTTGTTGGCATTTTGGGCTTATTCAGCTGCACGGAGCTGCCGCCGTTTTTTAATCGCTTAACTGTGTGCGACGGTATTAAATCCTCTTCGAGATCTTCCAGCTCCATTGACTCATTGGAGGCATTGAGACCAGCACCCTCGGCACTGGAATCTGTGTGATTCAGTTTACGTTTAATGGCCGTTGGCGCCGTGGCAGCCGTGGACCATTCCTGTTCCGTAGCCGACTCATCTTCGTTAGCCGATGAGGGTGATGTGGAGCCCTCGCCTGCGCCACTCTCGTTTACCCATTGCTTGAACTGATCCATAGCTTTGGTCTTGGATGTGCGCGACGGACGGGATGCGCCGACGCCCGACGAATTGGGGGATACTGCCGATGATTCTGGACTGTGCGGAGCAGAGTCCATTTTGCCACCAGCCTGCGACGCCTGCTGTTTGTCTTGCTGCGGTTTTTCCTGTTGCATGCGCTTCAGTGCATCCAGACTCTTCTCGCGCTTTAGCTTTTGGCGAGCCAGTTGCTTCTCAAACATCTGCAGAAAGTAGGGTACACGCTCTAGATTGGCCATCACCTCCCAGGTGTTCTCATTGTGCGAACGATCGATCCATTTCACCAAATACTCATGCGTCTTGCGGCGTGGATTAAAGCGTTTAGCTACAATACTCTCTACAGCCTCCTCAGTGCGTTGCTCGGTTTTTGGGTCGACGCGTGTGGCAATGCGATTGCTATTCTTAACAACGCCAGTGATTGTAGTTTGCGCCGAGGCGCCGGGCGGTGTGGGCGTGCCGGGTTTTGACTTGGGCCGCTCATTTTCCGTATCCTTCAGCTGTGAAGCAACTGTCGGCAATTTGCCAGCGGGAGATTCTGCATATGCAGAAGAATAGTGTTACATTTTGCAGAAACAATAAATAATAGAATACATATCATATGAATCAGTTTTTTTTAGATCTTACTTCTTGTGGGTGAAACACTGGAGGACGTGTTATTACTATTTGCAGTGCTGTTGTTGTTATTATTGTTGTTCGGATTTACAACGGTCTTGGTGATGCGTACAGGCATATCTTGAAGCTGGCCATGTCCGATTTTGCCAAACGACTGTATTGTCCTGCCGGCTACAATCCAAGGCTCGCGAACGCTCTCGTCTAGCTTGACCCAATTCTGATAGAGTGCCCAGGAATTTGAGGAGTTGCTCTCCTTTCGTGTATGCAGCTGTGTGGCCTTCCAAAGCGTAAATGCCCAGATTGTGGGCTTTGTATCCAGCGATTCCTTTAAACTCGAATTTTCTTTTTCGCAGGCGTCATCCTCCTTATGCGACTGAAATTCCTCGACAAAGTTAAAGGCGCGCAGGCAGCGACCGCAAACAAGCACATCCATATTGGCTAATTCCTCTTGGGCAACTAAATGGGGAGTATAAAGGTTTAAAATTTGTTCCTTTTTCATTTTTTTTTTTTTTTTTTTTTTGTTTTTCCATTGAGTATTGACCACTTGCCTCTTATTATATTTGCGTGTTTGCCAATTTCCGTCGGTGCAATCTCCTGTGCCAACATTATACACAACACCAACGTAGTAACTAAAAAAATGTACAATTTGAATATTTTTGTGTCACAATTTAAAAACAAATAAAAACCGTAGAAAATACGCGCACAAACACACACACGCACATGCGAGCAAAAAAAAAAAAAAAAAAGTACAGTGCCGTGGTGTGTTTATGAAACGAAGTGGCAACATTAACAACTGGCAACAAAGTGTGGTGGGTTTAAGCCGTATGTAATGGCTGCAGAGAATACAGCGCCTAGGCAGAAAAACGAGCACAAAGCGTGATGACCAAAAATGCAACGAACGCCCGCACAAAGGTACACACACAAAACATAGCTAACCGGGCGCGAAAAATGCAACAGCTAAACATTAGCTCAGAATAAATGATAGACATTTATGGATCTTTATACATGTACCTACATAATAGCAAACTGCTTAATTTTATTCTTATCTTTAACTAGCCGCCATTTTTAGTCAAATAAGCCGCACATTGCATTTTCAATTGCATAGAACAAACTAATAGAATGAATACATCCACACACAAACACACACTAAGCTCAGCTAAACAATTTTAATGTTTTATATATGATTTAAAACATAATAATCTGTTAGCTAGAAACATTTGAAACGAAATTTGCCATGTATGGACGCTTTTTTGCAAATTTATGTATGCATTTTTCACGTTTTCTTTTCGCTATGTTTTTCTCTTTTGTACTACACACCTTCATATACAGATGTGTTATGGAAAAAATATAGAGAGCAACTAGTTTGTTTTTAACAACTAATTTTAATTTAACTGTTTTTATTCTCCAACTCGCGCAACGCTGTTCACAATTGCACGCGCGCCAACTCTGAATGCCAAAAAAGTTTGTACAACTGAGCGAAGTGGCCAGTTCTGTTTTAGGGGTATGGCTAGATTGACACTTGCGTGCGCTACATTATGTATGCGCATATGCAAACCTCAAAGAAAGTTTGCAGCTGCTGGATCAGCACTGATTTGATTTGATTAGTTATATTATTCACTTCAATTTGACACGTTTAAAACTTGTTATGTGTCAGATTGTTACAATTTTAAAGACTTGAAGATATTTGATGTGTGTCGTATATGCTCAAACAACAGTGTAGCGCCGTTTTCCGTTCGTCCGCGTTTTGTAGCACTTTGTAAGCCAATCACATGAAGTGGTGTGTTTGCGCTGTCAGTGTGGCAGCACTGGTCATTTGACAGTAATTGAAATAAATTGATTTAAATCAACTTAAATATTGTTTTGTTAACTTTTTTTTCACTATTAACAATATTTTTAATTTTGTTTTTTTAAATAATGAAGTACCAACCAACATTTGAACTTAGTTTTAGGTGTAATGGCAACTCTATATACTTCAGCTGCTAGATTTTTATCACTTTCTGTTGTGTACACACTTTTGTAGTTGCCGGTGCGTGCCGACAAATTTTGTTTAATTTTGTATTTATTGAAAAGCAGCAGATATGGCTGACGATGAGCAAGATGACCAAAAAGAGTATCGCTGGGAAACCGGCTACGAGAAGACTTGGTAAGCCAACTTGAATATTATTGTGGCTTTAGTTGTTTTTGCTATTGCACCCAACTTGCGCCACAGGGAAGCCATCAAGGAGGATGACGATGGGCTGCTGGACGGTGCCATTGCCGAGATTATACAAAAGGCCAAACGCAAGCGACAGGCGGATAAGATCAAACAAAATCGCCTGGGAATGATGCGGCACATGTTCATTGTCTTGGATTGCTCCGAGTCGATGAGCGTACCTGATCTGAAGCCTACGCGTTTATTATGCACACTCAAATTGCTGGAGATCTTCATTGAAGAGTTCTTCGATCAGAATCCCATCAGTCAGCTGGGCATTATAGCACTAAAGGCAAAGCGCGCCGAGAAAGTCACCGAGTTAACGGGCACTTCGCGTGTACATCTCAAGGCGCTGGCTGGGTAAGTAGATATATCTGCCGTTCTGCCAAGCAAATACACGGGATTCCTTGATTTTAATGCCGTCTTGCAGCTTGGCTAATGTGTCGCTGACCAGCGAACCCTCACTGCAAAATGGCTTGGACCTGGCGCTAAAGACACTCAAAGTGGTGCCATCCCATGCCTCGCGCGAGATAGTCATAATCATGGGCTCGCTGACTACCTGTGATCCCGTGGATATCAATCAAACTATAGACGAGTTGAAAAGGGAGCGCATACGCTGCTCGGTTATATCGCTGTCAGCTGAAATACATATCTGTCGCTATTTGACACAACAAACAATGGGCACATTCGGCGCCGTGATGGATGATGCTCATTATCGTGATCAGCTGCTGGCGCAGGTGGATCCACCGCCAGCTGCCAAGACACAGGACAATTCGCTTATACGCATGGGCTTTCCGCACAGCAAGAATGAGGTTGAGGGCAAGGATGCACCGCTATCCATGTGCATGTGCCACATTGAGAATCTCGATGAGCCCAGCGAGCTGTCCACCACCGGCCATCATTGTCCCCAGTGCAACAGCAAGTACTGTGAGCTGCCCGTGGAATGTCAGTGTTGTGGCCTCACGCTGGTCTCGGCACCGCATCTGGCACGCTCCTATCATCATCTGTTTCCAGTGCCCAACTTTGAGGAGCTGCCATTTGAGTCGGTGCCGCCGGCAGCGCCTGACTGTGGCAGCCTGCGCAAGTGTTATGGCTGCATTAAGGTGCTTAACGCGCAGACTGACAAAAGCGTCTTCAAGTGCGGCTACTGCAATCAGTTTTTCTGCATCGATTGTGATATATTCATACATGAGACGCTGCACGCCTGCGTTGGCTGCAATACAATTCCAGGCGTCGCCGGCTTAGTCTATCAAAAGCAGGGCGGCAAGTCAGCCGCCGGCACCCATCAGCAGCAGCCACAGCCACAGCCACAACCATCCACTTCCAAGCAGCGCAGTCAGTTCAACATGTAATCCTGGCCCTCTAGCATGCAGCTTCCTACATGGGAGCTTATTGCTTTCAGCTGACGGGTTTGGACGCAATTCATGCATACAAAAAAATAATTATATGTAGACTTAACTATTTTAAGGCCAAAAGTTGCATTTACTTTGCATACAAGTTGTTGCTATCAAGTTTTCTTTATTTATGTAGAAAATAAAAAACTGTGAAAGTAACAAAATTTTACCCGATCCGCAAGAGTTTGCGTAAAGAGGAACAAATGTATGTAGTACTCAAAAAAACACATGCAAAAAAGAAACTTTAGAATATGACTCTTGAAAATCGCATAGAAAGGCGATATCAGTGCGAGTAAGCCGGCTAGAGAGTAAGAGAGAAAGCAACCCTTTTGCACTCTGTAATAGGATAAGAGCATCATTGGTAACCCTAGCCAGGGTATTATAGTGTCACTATCTATGTTAATTATAACAGTACGATAAGTAAATATCGATAAAGAAAAGCGGCTGCAGAGAAGAAGTGGAAGGCAGTCTCTCTACAGTACTAGCAGTAAGAAGACGTGTTGTTAAAAATAAAAAGGCAACCCGAACATAAGTTAAATCAACGACGAAAATCATACTATTACAATATCAGAAGTGGGATTGACTCAAAAAAAAAAAAAAAACACAACAAAATGGAAAATATAAATATAAATGACGTGTCAATAGCGACATTGAAAAGTTGGTTGGCATTACTAAATTTGCCAACAGAGGGTACCAAAACTGAGCTGATGGCGAGATTAAATAAGGTACCAGTGGACATCCGAGACGATGCTGCAAAGGAACTTGAAGTTCAACGTAACAAGGAACAGACAATTGAGGCTCAAAATGAGTTGCAAAACATAATGCAACAACAGCGTGACGAAATAGCAAATGGCGCCGAGATGCTGAAATTGATGCGTCTCGAAATTGAAGCGTCTCGAAAATTCCTAGAAGAATTTCAAGTAACGGTGAACCGCAACTCGCACATCGGCGGGAGCGACGGGGGAGAGCAAGAAAGTGAAGTCGGCGATTTATTGCAGCTAGAGGATGGTCACACTGAAGAAAGACCACGGTCGACGGATGGCAACGCTGGTGCAGCTGATTACACTGGAACGGATGGCAACGCTGGTGCAGCTGATCACGCTGGTGCAGCGGGCAACGCTGGGGCAGCTGGAAGGATCGACGAAAGTGGCAACGCTGTCGGAGGCAACTTAAATAATTGCATCCAAACTGGAGCGATGATGTTAGCCAAGGAAATTTTATTAGAATTTACTGGAGAAAGTGAGGTGCGTAAATGGGTAATGCAATTCTTCAATGTGGCCAAGATCTACAGACTAAATGATATGCAACAGCACTTGCTTTGTATAAGCAAATTGAAAGGCGGTGCTTTGAAGTGGTTGCATGCAGACCCTATGCGCATCATTGCTCCGATTGACGAGATGCTAAATCAATTGGTTTTGGCCTTCGGGGGAGGATTTTCGAAGTCGGAACTACGACAGAAGTTCGAGGATCGGGTTTGGAAACCAGATGAGGTGTTCGCCACATATTTTAGCGAAAAAAGCATATTGGCACAGGACATCAACATTGATGTAGAGGAGTTAATGGAGGGTATTATTCGAGGCATACCTTGCGAAAACTTGCGCACTCAAGCTAGTATGCATTGCTTTACCAATCCGGCTCAAATTTTACGTGCGTTTGCAGCTATAAAGTTGCCAATTAAACGGGTACGAAACCATGTAGTGAAACAAACTGCACAGGAAGCACAGGCGGACAAACAACAACGTTGCTACAATTGCAATGTTAAGGGCCATTGGGCCAAAGATTGTTTAAAGCCCAAACGGGAGGCAGGATCTTGCTATGCGTGCGGCTCAAAGGATCATTTAATAGCAGGATGTCCAAATAAAAAGTATGATATGGAAAACAAATATGTAAGATACTTAAGAATTCATTTTAGTAACTCATTTAACAAATCAATAATTGCAGAATGCCTTATAGACTCTGGCAGCCCTATTTCATTTTTAAAGGAAAAGTTTGTGCCATTAAAAGTAAAGCGTATGCCAGATGCAAATTCGTATGTAGGTTTAAATGAAAGTAAATTGAAAAATTTTGGAAAAATTTTATGTTTTATGAAGAAAAAGTTAATAAATGTTTATTTTAATGTTATAATTGTGGCAAATGAGTCTATGAGGTATGACGCTGTGCTTGGTAGAGATTTTATGGATTCTTTTGGTTTAAATATTGATTTAAGAACATTAAAAATTGTGAACGGGCATAAAGTTGATCACCAGAATAATGGTAAAAATGATATCATAGCTACAAGCTACAAAGAAAAACAAAAAAAAGTGGACGATGAAGATATCAAACACGAGCAAAATGAAACTATATTGTTAAATGATAAAATCGTTAATAAGGAAATAGTCAGTAATGAAACTGTTAGTGATGAATTAGTTAGTGAGAAAATTGTTAGTCCGGAAACGCTTGGTGATAAAGTTGGTAGTGATGAGATAGTTAGAAATAAAATAATTAGTGGTGAAATAGTTAGAAATGAAGTGATTGGGATCGAAACTGTTAGTGATGAGATAGTTAGTTATGGAGAGCTTAAGCTCGAACCTGATAGTGAAGAAGTTGTTAGTGATGAAATTATCTATAATCAAACCGGGATTGAAAAAGTGATTATAGAAGATATAGGAAACAGTGCAGTTAAAATTAATAATCATGTTAATGAAGCGCCAGTGAATAGCGAAATCATGGGAGTGTTAGAAGAGAATTTTGAGAAGGATATCTTAACAATAAGTTGGGAAGATTCTAACAAAAGAGAAAATATATATATTTTAAGTGAAGATATTGATTACAGCACAAAGTGTGAATTTGAAAATTTATTTGAAAATACTTATGTAAAAGCGAAAAGGCCAAATCAGCCAAAATTAAGA